GAAGGGCGGGCAGGCAGGCAAATGAGTCCAAGTACAAAAGATATAGGAGCAGTTGTGATAGAGGAAGAGGGACCAAGTGGAGTTTCTCATGACCGAGTGGTTGGTTGGTTGGTTGGATGGTTGGTGCGGCTCAAGTGGAGGAAGTAAGACTTGAAGTAAGACTTGAAGCGAGGACACCGCACATGGTAACAAGAAAGCAGCAGGAGGAACGTGTGTGTGTGGTGAACTCGTCGTCGTCGTTGGGTACAAAAGAGAGACAGGAAAGACCCGGAGGAACAGAAGAACGCCAACCCGGGTCTCAGCAACATCGCCACCACGCTCTCCTCATCAACATTTCATACAGAGTCGCAGTAGTACTGCTTTCCTCCATCTACTCCTTGGGTCGAACCGTTGTGTTCCATCGCCCACCACCGCTCCTCTCTCCATTTCTCAGAAGAAGAGGCAGAATATATACGGCTTATCAGAACCAGATTCCCACAAGTCAACCCTTCATCTCATTTCAGAAAGCGAGAGAGAGAAAGAGAGACGGACGCCGGATGAGCTAGGAAGGAACGCTGAATGGTGGTTGTTCTTCACAAACAGGAGACTACAGCCTACCCGTTTTCCCCCTTTGTCAATATCTGGCCCAAAGTCACTTGAGCCTACTAAAACAACAAAGGTCCTCACTTCCTCCCACAGTGAGAAGGCAGAGAGTTCTCCTTATCACCCGTCAGCAGAAGCTGTATAACAAGGAAGGAGGAGGGATCCGGAGAAAGTCTCTTACCTCGAGAGAAACAAAGGCGTCTCACTCGGTACAAGTTTTCTCATCTCCAAGTCTCAAGTAAAACCAGTCGCGGCCGTTCAGCAGACAACTCGTCATTTTGGGGGCAGGATACATATATAAAGACCTCACAGCCACGGAATGACCTCCATGGTGAATAACTCACTCGTTCCTTCCTTCGCAGCACACTCACCACTCGCCAACTTTTTCAACTTCTTGCTTCTCCAATTAGTAAGTTGTCGTCCTCGCTCCTCAAATTTTCTTGAAAACTGAGCAACCCACTATCACACAAGGACAAGGCCTATCTTTGATGTATTTCAAGATTCGGCACTGTGAGAGGACGTCCTCCTGTGAAGAGACCAAAATTGACTTGGTGAAAGTCGTCGGAGAAAGCAAAGGCTCACAAGTTGAGTAAATTTCCTTATACGCCGCACACGAATTCAATCCACACCCATCAACTGTGAAATACTTTGACGAAGAGAGTTGAGTGTGAAACAGGTGTCTCAATTTCTCACTCTTCTTCAAACCCAGCAAACCAACCACCCCATTACCGAGAGTTGAAAACTTTGCTCTCTCATTCTCTCTCTCTCTCACTCTCTCTCTCTAAGGAATCTGGTTTGGTCGTGATCAAAAGATTCTCTCACCTCAGAAGAGGGCTGAATATTACCGTCGTCGAGTCAAACTTGGTTATTATCCTCGGATCACTTATTATACTTGAGCATCCAACAAAGGTAGAGTCCTTCTTCATGAATTTATTATGATCATGTGTTGTAAATGACATTGAAAAGTTGAACGAGGACCCATCAACCAGAAGGGAATCCAGGTGAGGCTGCGTTTTAGTCTAAGGATGGACATCTTATGGAAGTAACTCTACACCACCTCAAATGCATAATATTCAACACGTTTTATTCCATTATCTAAACAGATACTGGTCCTCATGCTCTGACAACGAATGTGCATACATGTGTAGTCCGGCAGTGTGTTTGGTCATGGCTGTGAGCTAAATGGATGATGTGGGACCTCATTTTGTAGGCAGAACATTCATATCTCTCTTCTATTCCGATCTAGCAGCACCAGCAGCAGCAGCGTTTGCTTATCTCGTTCGATTTTGCTCGTTCTTTGGTAAATAAGATGGGAGGAGACCACTAGCTATTAACTACCACTGCACTCTGGAACCACACACATACATACACATATATAAATACGACTTATACGTAGATGCATAAATGGGGTGCAAGCAGATCACCCCGTTCAAATGTGTTGTCAACCTTATCATTCGTTGGTGGCTTCATATTTCATTCAATGGTTGGTTCGTGGTGGGGGTTAGTGGTTGTGCAATGAAGAGAAGGTTTGTTGGGCTTAAATTGAGTCGCTGCTTATGGTTGGTTCGGTTTGATTGTGCTAGTACAGCGAGAGAAAATAAAGGGTTATTTTACATACGATAAAGAAGGTCGGTTGACAGAAAGCCCAATTCTCAATACAGTTTAGCTCACTCACTGCTCATTTCCGTGACGGACGGGTCAATTGGTTTTCGTCTCCTTTTTGGTGAACAAAATATGCACTTTGAGATACATACATAAATACATCTATGCATACAGGCAAGAAAATCATGCATATTTTGTGTTTCTATCAGGCTGAGACAAAGACTTTGGTTCGTTCCCTCTTCTGAAGTAGTCTTCTGGTAGAAGAACAATATGTTAAATCTTTTCTTGAAAGGAAGCTGCTTTCGTTCGTGGTGTCTGGTGTGGTTGTGGAAGTCTGTGTCATCAACTATTGTTTTGCCGTCAGCTCCACCGTGGTCTCATCATCATAACATTATCATCATTCCCACACACAGTAGATGGATGGATGGGTGGATGGATGGATGGACGATGGTGCAGAGAGCTGAGAACAGACTTTAAATTGTATTGCTGTATACATTAAGCAAAGTATGTGGAGACGTCAAGAGTGATGAGTAGGATGCAAGAAGGAATACATTAGAGTCAAGTCTCGAGAATAAGAAACAAGTGATTACGAGACCATGATGATGATGATGACTGTGTTGTTGTTGTTGTTGAGGACGACGTCGAGTCAGTGGGATGAGATGAGCATACCGACGATAGAAAGATTCCAAGAAGCACCAGAAGAAGACCGTGTGCTGTGCCGTTCTTTCTTCTCCCTGCTACACGTATTATTTTATTATCATCTCATCGTCCATACCCATGAACTTATCTGCTGCTCTGCTGCTGCTCTCCTTCTTTGATTTCGTTCTTTGACTCTTTGTCGAAAAGAAGGCCGAGGTGGAGAGAGGAGCAGCAGATTTGAGCAGATGTCTATTATGATGGGTGTGAGATCAGCCCATACATTTTTCTTGCTCAACTCATCCTCCTCTCTCGACTCGTACATATCCCATGCAGCGTCTTTTTTCGCTCTCGATGGTAATATATGAGATTGGTGCATGGTGTGTGGGGCTAGAGTCCCTATTATTACAATGAGAAATAGACTTGGAACTTGGCCGACAGTGCACTGCTCAATCTCTTCTGTTCTCATAATACATATCAGAATCGGGATTGATTGCATACTGAATCCAAGCCAGGAACGAAGGAACGAGTGAGTGAAAGATCTTATACTTTGCTCGCAACCAGAAGTGAGCGGTGCATAGTGGGAGTCATTTTGGAGGAGGGAGTGACACGGCAAAAAAAAACTTGGGAAATGCGGCGGATAAGAGCGAGACGACGAGGAATGAAAGGAGAGAGTTTACGAGAAGTTCAGGTTCTGGCAAAGGCAAAAAGGAAGCTCGAATAGTTGGATGGACTTTGCCAGGCAGGCAGGCCACCGCCTAACGAGGCGAGCCACACACGAGTCGCAGTCACCAATTCTTCTTTGGCTGATGGCAGAGGTGATGCTGTTGCATAATAATAAAATGTACGACGCCACACCAAAAAGCAGTGTGTATTGTAACGTCAGGCAGGAGCAGGCAAGAGAAGGAGGCGAGAGACCAGGAAAAAGATTTCGTTGGGATGATACCACATTTCTTGGGTAATATATGACTCCTCGTGTGTTTTATGTTGGATGGAAGATCATCAGCAGCAAAGAGTTTTTCCTCGCAAAGAAAAAGAGGTACTCCTCGTACTTCACTTGTTCCATCCATTCTCAGCCTAGCAAATACATCTTTTTCGTCTTCTTCTTCTTGAGTATCTGGTTCCTCTGAGACCACTCACTCGTCCAAATTCCTCTCTGTGCTCGCTCACTCCTCTCTCCTTCGTCTTGGGTCTGTGGATGATAAATTCAGAAGGAGTTCCTCCATCAAGGAGAGCGTCACATCATGCATGGCACGATATATAGGAAAGAATCGTGGTTTAGCAGGAATGGGTGAAGCATTCGTCTCATGCACTTATACTGCATGCTGATATAGGAGGAGGTGGGTGTGAGTGGGTAACAACCACCATGTCAAATCGCTCCTAGCTGATCTCGAACATTTTATCGAGTTGGTGGTGGAGCAGAGAAGAACCGGCTGCATGGGTAGAAAAGTAGGAGAGAGAGTAGTCGAGGGCGCACTTTGGCTTCTCCCAGTGACTGAGTGGTTGTCGACCAACGCTCGTGTGTCCAGCAGAAGGGCGAACTTGCTTTTTCACTTGAGAACACTTTCGAGGAAGAGAATAAAATAATAAAAGCAAGGACTCGTACCCCTTCTAATTCTTATAACTTGTCCTTCCTCGTTTCAAGGTGAGCTTTCCTTACCGTTTTCAGCATAAAGAAAGCATTCGCAACATTGCGCAATAAAGCGTGACATTGACAAGTGGTTTTATTTAAGCAGAGTCTGCCGTTGTTGAAAGTTATTTGATCCGAGTAATCAATTAGCACTCATCATTGAGTACTAATTTCCTAGAAATAACTTGAGAATTTTCATCCTTATCGAGTAAATAGTGAGCTAATATGGTCACAGTGGTACAAACATTGGGCACTAATGATGTTGTCCCTTCCTTCAGCACGAAAGTTGCCCAACTATGTAGCATCTCGGATCATTTTTTTGTGTGTGATCAACGCGCATCAATCACATGCACACACAAAAACTTTTGTGACGACCTAGTTTTACTCCGTGCCGCATTCATCAGTATCAATATCAGACGCAGATATCAGATTTATTTGCAAAAAAGCATCCTTTTAAAGCCAACCCTCGAATAATGCTTGATTTAATAATTGCTCAACTTATAAAAAATAAAGGAAATCAATTAAAACTTGTGTCCGTATTTTTGTGCAGTTGCTCGCGATTGAGAGGAAGGAGCGTAATCGAATGGTGAAAATGTCTCACTCCTCGAGCCGGAAGAAACTGGTGCCCTCCAAAGTGAAGGTGAAAGCAAGAGGCCCCACAAGTCGGGTAAGCAACTGCTCCTCTCTCCTTTCGCTTTGCTCACCTCCTCGAATTTACAGAGATATGAAACTCGAGTTAATTTTTTACACTGCTTCCTGCCTTCTGGTAATTCATTTCTTGGCGCATTTCACATTCGACTCGAGCATATGCAGATCCACATGAGTAGCATAACGTACATATTTAATGCTTATTACTTCAGAGCGGCTGAATGTTTCAGCTGCACTTCAATTTTAAAAATGGCATCAGGTTTCTCATTTTTGCATGCAAATAGTGATCATGCATTGTCGCGACGGCACAACCGTGCAGATACAAATGTAAACATTCTTTGAAGACCTCCACCAATGGTAAGAGAAGAAGTAATGGGATGTAAGATATCATTTTACACGTTTGCCATCAATACACGTCGGTAGCTAAATAGATGTGACAAGAGACACTCCTTGCCTGAGTTGGTGCGTAGTAGTTAGTGGATCGCCCAGACTTTATTCGAGTTGGGTATTTAACAGGATGGAATTTTAAAGGTCGGGTGCATTATGTTTCTGAGAGGAAATAACAATGACGCTTTGCTTCTGCTGGAAGGATGTGAGTGGGACTTGGTTGGTTTGTTGACTTTGATACCAAAGGGCAATTTGAAGATGGACAGCAGACGTGAGAGGTGGATGAGAGCTGACCATAAATGTTCAATGAGGGTTTGTAAATTGCAGTTTTAGAATGCGACTCCCTCACTCAGCCATAGCCGGCCAACCAACCAGTATATTCTTATGTATGTACAAATGTATGTATGTAGCATGGTCATGTTCTTCCTCTTCTTGCAAGTTTCGAGACTGCTGCATCTCACATCACTTTTTATTCCACCACCCTTCTCGACGACTACTTTTGTCTGTCGGGCTTCGTCTTTGTATGTGTTCTAAAAAACGATAGTGCAGCAGCAGTGGTGGTGGGAAGAAGGGGTTCAGTTCAACGGGCACTGATTTCTGTAGTTTACCACTTGGTAACTGGAGGAGAGTCGCTCCTTATCTGCTCCATTGATTCTGAAGCCTTCTGCATACTCCTCTCCTCTCAAAAAGACCGTGGATTATCAACCATTGTACTTTATGGCGAGAGTGTTTTATTCACTTGCATGTACGGCGGAGGGTGTATTATAGACTGTCGTCGTTGTCCTCCTCCTCCTGAATGTTGGGACGACTCAACCTCTTGTCAAGGAGGAAAGGATATACGTCTTAAAGACGGGATGGTAAACTGAATGCATTATTCAATCATTTAGACTGCTTCTCGTTTTCGTCTCCTCCGACCAAGCAACCTCTCAACCTTCGATCAAAGAGAAGTAAGTTTCTTATCGGGTGGAGGAGATAGCAGCGTACATGTAGATGTGTTTAGTTCCTCTGCTTTACAGAAACGTGTTGGTCAATCCCTAAATCAGAGCCAAAAAGTCAGGTTTGAAACTACTCGCATGTGCACTCATCTCACAACCACTATCACTACCGCTGCTCTCTTGTTCATATACGTACGTACTTGTAAATCAGTTTGGTTTAAAAGGCAAAGTGAGGCGTAAGAACTTGTTATTAAGAAGTAGACCAGAAGCAGTGGGTACGTAGCGATAGTATTGCTCGTATGCAAATATATATTGTGAAATTGTACCTGACACTAGCAACGTGTGCCATCAAATTATTAGTTGTAACATGCAAGAGTTCTGCACACTTGTACCCGTCGCAGTGGTGTCACGTCTTGTGTTGGCGTACGTCCAGTCTTGCCTTGATTTTAATGCTGGATTTCCCGAGAGTAGATGGATGGATGGATGGATAGATGATGATGAGAGACGGATGATTGTCTGAGGAAACGATAAAGGGAATCCATGTCCCAACCAACGGCGGAGAAGACTCGTTCTTCTTCATCTGCGGTATTTTCACAAAAGTTTCGGGTGCAGCTGTTATTGTTCCGTGATATACTTTCCTCTTTCTTTACTGCCAGTTATGAATATGAGAAAATATACTCGACGAGCGTATGTATCACAAGTGTGCTCTTTGGTAGCAGTCAGCAGAGAAAATTTTGTGCTTGGCTCTCCCATGAAAGTGAAGGATATCGAGGTCTCTCACTCCCACCAAAAAATAAAACCTACTTTAGATAAGCTCGGTCGGACCAAGAATTGAGTGCGGGTGCGGAGGACTGAATGATATGATCCAAGAAATTTCCAAAGAATTCACCTCCTTCAACTTGCCAGGTCCTATGACTGGAGCCACCCAGTTTACTTGTACTTACGTATAAGACCCTGGGTTTCGCCCAGCTATATGGTTTCACTTTGCTGCTTAAGAAGGAACAGCCCGCAGGAACAGAACAGTGAGATGTTGTTAAGCCCTGCCTGGTTTTACTGAGAAAACAATGTTTGTAATAAAGAGGAGCGAGAAGGAAACGTCTCCAAGAGATTTTGAGTTCCAGCGAAGGAAGGAAGGAAGGAAGAAGGCGAACAAAGTATGCATCTTGCAGTATGAGATGAATCCATCGGTGCACGTAAAAGTTTGCATCAAAGCTTGCACCACGTTATTTCTACTGAATATCTATTGTCATCTTGCAAGTAAATACATACAGCGTAACTAACTGTGCAGTAAGTGAGGGGAACGAGAGGTTTCGTTTATTTCATTCCATGATCGAGGAGGAATTTATTGCATCCTTCGGTGGTAGTTCAAGTCCCAAGTTAGGAAATTGCATTTACAGTTTCTTCCCGACTAATAGCGGTGTTGGGTACGCTCCGTTCTGGGAAAAAATAGTTAGCACGGCCAATATTATCATGCCCCACACAAACAAGACAGACGCTAAAGTCGACCCCCAGTTCATGTAAGCATGTATGTACGCATCCCTTGATTTTGAAGTTTGAATAAAATCTCCACCTTTTCGTGCAATTACTATTTGCCGTCCTTCATGTTACTTAACCGTCTGCGAGTTGTGTATTATGCTGGGTGCTTTTCTCATGAAAGTGTAGAGTAAGTACCACCCAAGTGATAGGACCAGCACTATCTGCGGTGTATTTTTATTGTTTGGGGACCACCACCACCGTCGCCGCCGACATTTGGACTCCTTTCCATCTGCCCAGAGTGGTGGCCTAGGTTGCGAGTATATTACGGAGCATGGCATGACAAGAGAAGAAACTAAATGTCTGTTCTGATGGTGGTGAAAGTGAAGTCGGTGGTGGTGGCTGTCTGCGTGTTGAGAAGGGAAGCTTAGAGAGAGGAGCACGAGAAGAGTCCGTGGATGCAGATGACTGGAAAGTGGTAATAAAGAGACACTATCAGTCTACTTTCTCTTAGAGTCAGTGTCTCCCTTCTCGGTGGTTGCCTAGGATGGATGCGATGGTCTGCTGGTGCCATCATCAACCAGCTGCGACTTGGCCTGCTTCCTTTTCCACACTTCACTCGCTCTCTCTCTCTCTCCCTCTCGTCGTCGTCGTCGCTAATGAAGAAATTTCTCTCATTGTTGCTGGCTCGGAAAACTTGCTGGTTGGTAACTTACTGAACGTGAAATCGGGCACAACCAAGTCTAAGCCTCCTCCCGAAAGACCTTCACAAATTGACAACATGTAATGCAATATAAAGTAATGCAATGTGAGGCGAGGAGATATTAAAGAAGAGGAAGAGGGGAGTGTATTAACGGGAGACGACAAAAAATGAGGACGACACAAGAAGAAAACGACGACGACGAACAAACAAGGCGCCTTCATCTCGCCTCCCATACACCAGCTAGTTGGTTGGCTGGTCCAATTTTGTCGTACTCTCACTTGATGATGTGCTTGGATGGAGTGAAAGTCTGTGTTTGTACTGATTGATTTTCCTATAAATTGGTCACCGCTCTCCTCAGTACCCACCACCTACATACATTTATATTGTACATATGATATGAGAACTTGGGCATTGTTCATCTTTATGGATCCATCGTCCATCTTGATCTGGGTCCCCCCACCTAAAAAAATTGGGATTGGTATACGACGGCCGTCGTTGTTTTCATGGAGCGTGGAACGAAATTTTCTACATCGTCAAAGGTGCTGTTGAACTTTCTAGTGCATCTCTCGCTTCCCATATCCATTACCAGATTTGAGCTAGAATAGGGTCGTACGCACTCTGACTCCATGCATGGCGGTTCGACTATCCTCAATCTCCATTACTTCTCTACTCTTGGTGTGTGTATGGATGGGTAGCGTCGGTGGAGGAGCCTGGTCTGATCTGGTTTACCAGACCAGCTATGCATTTCGTATTGTTAGAGCGAGCCAGAGTTGGCAGGTCATGCCATGCCATTTGGTTGGGCTGGTAGTGGATGGCTGGTCGAGGAGAAATGATGATGGCATGAAATTTGATGTGGAGAGAGGCAGAAGAGGAATGAACAGAAGCCAAAGGATGGATGGATATTTGAAGCAACATACCTCATTTGCGGAAGAGCCCTTCTCTCTCTACCCGCCTGACTTTGATGCGAGAAAACTCTCTCCCTCCTAAAGCCCGGGTAGTAGGAAAGACTTTCCATCGTCTCCTCTGCTTTTCACTTTTGCTCGCCTTGCCACCATGGCTGGAGAACCAGAGCAGAGATGATCAAGCAAAGGTTTCCGTCCTCCTCCAGTCTTTACTCTTTTGCTTGGTACGACTCCTACTACGCTTTATTGGATGAGTGAGTGGGGTGACTCCCGAGTTCAGTTGGTTGGCTAACAACATGAAATCGCTGAAGCCATTAGGGAGAGAAAGAGGAAGTTGGAGAGCATACCAAACCCTGATGGTCCTGTCTTCCTCCGTCGAAATAATGCAGATCCGTCGAGGCGGTTTGTGTTACCTCTTGCCATGGGTGGGCGACTCCAGTTGATAATTCCATGCCAAAGCACTGCTGCTGTTACTCCACTGCCACTGGTGCCAGTGGTATCGTAACCAACGATGTTTTGCATATCTACTCGAATAAAGCACGGAATCATTAGGTACAGAACAATTTCAAAATTCATCTGTGAAATTTTTGACGCTTTTGACACCACTGTTCAGTCTTTC